GAACTCCCGACCCCCCCCGTCTCTTGACTGCCCCCTCCAGAACCTCCCTGCCCCTTCTCCTGCCCCCTGGCCCCCTTACCCTGCCACTCAGAACATGGTGTTGGGCTCTGTGCAGAGCCGGACACATGGCTGCGCTCCCCAGCGCAACACACAACCCGGTCCCTGCCCCCGCACAGTGCTGCCGGAGCGGGGCGCTGGGCTGCAGGGGAGGAGGAGCTGCCGAGGCCCGATGCAAACGGCCCGGCCGGCTCAGAATACGGGGGGGGAGGGGGAGGAGCTCTACAGCTGCTCCGGAATCTAGCCCGGCAAGCTGCAGGGGGAAGGGCTCTGGCAGAGCCCCATGCGAGCGGCTGACTTTCCTGCAGCCCTCCCAGCCGCACCTCGCTCTGCCTGGGGGGGAAATCCCGGACATTTTGAGTGATTTACAAATTCCCCCCCGGACGCTATTTTTAACATAAAAAGGAGGACATGTCCGGGTAAATCCGGACGAATGGTAACCCTACCCTAGCTGAAAGTCTGCTAGTAGCATTTTCTTGCAAATATTGACTTAAGGACAAGGTGGAGGGGACCCACCCTTGGTGTGCATGATACTTCCTTGCCAATATTTCACCCTACTCCTTATTTGCAGACCTGTGAGCAAATCTGGATGCACAGCTTGGGAGCAGCACTGTTAGTGTTGGAAAAATGCTGCTTTTCAGCATTACATATATAAAGATTGTGAAAAACAATTGCTTTACTCAGCAGCTGTTAAGAGCGAGAAGGGCGATTATGAAAAATGGTGACATCTTAGTCAACGTTTCTGCACCCTGCGTGTATTCGGAGTCAGAGCTGCTGACTTCAGTGACCAACATCCATTGTGACTGCTTATTATTCCCGTTTGCCCCAGTCAGCTGAGAGAGAGTGAGATGGATTGTTTCCTATTAAAGATTCTGCAACTGGAATGTAGTTGTCATTGGTGATGGCATGTGAGCCGGAACAAATCCAGTTTGCCTGTCAGAGCCTAGATTCAGTTTGCAGATCTGGCAGGTGGAGGGGAACAAATTAATTATGGAGTCACTGAATAATAACAAACCATTCTTTATTCAGTTTGAGATCAGGGCTCAGATTTGCACCTACCTGGGCAGAGGACCTTTTCTGCTGATATTCCTTCCCCACCCAGTTGGGTTTGAGAGCTCCATAAAGGAACATACTGTGCTGAACCATTTGGTTTATACGCTGATGGGACAATATAATTATCTTCTTTCCTTGACACACAGATACAGTGTCTTCTAAATGTCCTTCTGCATCATTCTCTTTGGTACGCCTTCCGTGGCCAAAGAAGCATGAAGGAAGGGAGGTTAGAACGCTAGTGGTGAAAATCCTGTTCCGGATTCACCCAATTGCTGCATGTACACTTTTAAGTCATGTGCTGTGGCTGTGATGTAAACCACCTCTTTCACCACCATAGCAGTCTGCAAATAAGGAGGAGTGGTGTGCATCAGGAGAACTTTTCTGGGTGTAGTCAGCCTGAGGAAACCAATCTGTCTATGCTCAAAAACTGAGATGAGTGTTGTTTGCTTTCTAATTTGGTGAACAGGATTGCTATGGTCTGATCTTCTGTCTTCATGGTAGTAGATCTATGTTGAGGAGAGAAAAACAAACAGAAGACTTCTCTGGCTGAATTTCAGCCATTTTGTGCTTCCTGTGCTTCTGGGAAGCTGTACGCTATCTCAGAGAGTCACAATCCTGCCCCTCTTCGCCCTTTGTCTGGGGAGAAATAACCTACATTGTGGGGAATGAATTCAAGACTGCCCACTCCCTACCCCTCTCCTCCAACTCCCCACACAGGAGGGGGAAGCAGTGGCCTCATGGAGCCCTGCTTTCCTTGTGTGCCTAGAGCAGCAGTCCAAAGAGGACTTACATGGGTGTAGAGGCAGGTGTCTAACTGCCTTTTATATCCTTGTACAGTCACATAAGGCCAGACCATAGTCTGGCTGCAAATTTATGTATTTGGGGGCATGTGACTCTGGAACTTGCTTTTCCCAAAACTCCAAAAGTCTGTTGACCTTCAGAACCTGCTGTAAGGCCTGTCTAGTTATCCAGGCTTCTCCCTGATGGGCGATCCGAGAGGTGTTGACTTCTGGACTGGCATGAGAAGTCTTTCAGTGTGACAACATGTCATTTGAGAATGCAGTTGTACGTGATTTTCTAGTTTGTAGACATGCTCAGAGGCACTGACAGGCACATTTACTGTATGGACACTGTGCTGCCTTTTTATACCACCACTTTTCGGAGTCCAGGATGAATATTATTATAATTATTCAATGTATCCCAGAAGCCACAACCAAGACCAAGCCCTCAGTGTTTTGTATGCTGTACAGAAGCACACATAGACACTGTCCCTGCCCTGAAAATTGCAGATCAAAGGCCAATTTTTTCTGATATCTCATTTTCTATCTAATCAGTTTAATCTGAGGTGCTTACCACCTTAGTGGTGGCTTGGTGCTGATATTACTTGTTTTGGTATTTTAATAAGGGCTTTCTACTTCACGGACCATTTTCCCTTTCTCTTTATGCTGCAATGATTTAAGCTGTGTTTATGATATCAGTCTTTTGCCATAGCCATTATTATGCTGTCACAAATATAAATTATGATTTAACTGCAGAATCACATTTTCACACTTCACTGATTAAATTGTACTTGCATAATATGCCCAGGTGCATGCAGAAGAGAAGAATGAGGGGGGGGTTTGATAGCTGCTTTCAACTACCTGAAAGGGGGTTCCAAAGAGGATGGATCTAGACTGTTCTCAGTGGTGGCAGTTGACAGAACAAGGAGCAATGGTCTCAAGTTGCAGTGGGGGAGGTTTAGGTTGGATACTAGGAAAAACTTTTTCACTAAGAGGGTGGTGAAGCACTGGAATGGGTTACCTAGGGAGGTGGTGGAATCTCATTCCTGAGAGGTTTTAAGGTCAGGCTCGACATAACCCTGGCTGGGATGATTTAGTTGGGGATTGGTCCTGTTTTGAGCAGGGGATTGGACTAGATGACCTCCTGAGGTCCCTTCCAACCCTGATATTCTATGATTCTAATATTGCATGTGTACACTTGAGGACCAATTTTGCATTTTCTGCATGTTCAATGACATCCCCTGACCTTGAATATGTGAAGAATGTGGGGTCAGGCTCTTAATTAGTTTTTGGGCTCAAGGTAGGTTTAGTGTTAGAAAATGTGCCCTAAATTGCCTGGGCAAATTAGTGAACACAGAAAGGGGGGGGAAGAACTGAGTCAATTTGAATATTTTCCCACAATATTAAACTCCATCTTTGTAAGATGCCACAGAGCAGAAAATGAAAAAGAAAGCATTGTTTTAAACATGGATGGAAGCAGCTGATAAAAAGGCTAATGCTGAAATATAAGGGTATTTAAAATAATAGAAGAAAAAAATAAGATCGCTTGAGAGATTCTCTGTAAATGATCTAAGAGCCAATGGCTTCTTTGCGCCTGAAAAGAGCACGGTTCAGATATTTGTCATGCTTTTTAAATTACTGTGTTGCTCACTGCAGTTTACAAAAACACTCTGGAAGCTGAAAATGAAATCTGTTTCTTTACCAAAATTGTTTTCCCCCAACGCCTGTTCACACTGATCTGTTGCCATCAGATTGCTCATGAAGGCTGCGTTACAAGCAGTGATTCCTTTCTTTAAAAGAGCATTGAAGCATCTGGCTTTTGGGCAGGGAAAGGCACATAAATGGCTTTGCAAGCAGATAGAAGAAAATAAAAGTAGGTCAGGTGTTGGCCTTTCCATGGTTGGAAGGGCATATGGGTTTACATTCCCTGCATAGGTGGCAGTGCACCATTCCATTAGAGACAGGTGGTGTGATTTCCATAAACAAGATACAATGTTTCCAAGACCCCAGATTCTTGACTTACGTACAATGTGGTTAGTCTGATGGGACGTCATCTGTGATAAGCTTGTGGTATGCATCTTGCTTTGAATAAAGTAATCCCTTTAGCTTTTAATCAATGGGAACCTCAGACCCATGAATTGGAAGAACTTTGCATAGTGATATATAGTATAAGGGTGTTAATGTTTTGCCTAATAAGAGAGAACTCTCCTCTAGGATTTAAGGAGATTTTGTAACATTTTGGGTGCTGGTTGGTTGTTGTTTTTTCAGTTTGTTTATGGTCAATTTGTGTGTGTACATGTATGTATATCTGTGTTCATGTGTGTGATGGAACTGCAGCAATTGCCTGAATTTAAATTGGACTTGAGTGTGTGTATTTTGTACTATCCATAATATGATGTGCCAAGCAGTCCTGCAGGGCACAGCAGGGTTTAACTGACTGTATTTTGTGAGTATCTAGCATGGAAACATTGAAAGCTTTAAGCTCATTGTACAAAGAAGTTCAAGCGAACTGTGTGCCATTGTAAATTACCCAAGATGCTCTACCAAATTAGATCTTCCTTACAATGAACTGTGAGAATAATTATTAGTTTAGGTCTTTTTACTTGTACAATTTAACTGTACAGCATTTGGCATCAGGTACTATAGAAGTAACAGCCTTTTGTCTCATTTGCATTAGTTACTAGGTGAAGAAAGATTTCAAGATATTGAAAAAATTAAAACCATTGGCAGCACATACATGGCTGTATCAGGATTATCACCTGAAAAACAGGTAAGGGGCTAATTCAATCTTTTTAAAACAAGCAGAGATGTCAATGTGATGATCTTCATCCATTCCTGCAAAGTAAACGATATTGGTGTCATTTTTAGATGCTCACAGGGTGATATTTACTAGAAGAAAATAGATATTTGGAACTTCTAGCGAATGAAAATCACAATTGTTCTCGAAGAATTCTCTCTCCTCTTTTCTTCTTTCATTCTCAATGCTGTTTCTCCCCTTATTCCCCTGACTCCCATTCTCATTACTTTTCCTCCTAAACCAAGTTGTGTTTCTCTTTCCTCATGCCCTCCCAGCTTTAACTTTATCCCCTGAAGTCCCACCTCCTGCTTATTCCCATTATTACCCATCAAATTCCTGATTTCAAGCAAAGCAGCTACAATATTTCACAGCAAGGCATCTCTGTACTGAAATGTGTAAGCAGTTCACCATAAATGGAATGTATTACCTCTCCATTAACAGTGAACCACTTCACTGAGATTTAATAGGGTACGATGAGACTGCTCTTATGAATTATGATTTCACATACTTAGCTCTGGGGAGATAGTTGTTTTATAGCAAATGCAAAACACACCTAATGTATTCCGTTTTAATTCACTCTTAGCAATGTGAAGACAAATGGGGACATTTGTGTGCTCTGGCTGACTTCTCCATAGCTTTGAATGAAAGTATACAGGAGATCAACAAACATTCGTTCAACAACTTTGAACTCCGCATCGGTAAGTACAGTGCAAGCATTTGAAATAAAGTGAGTTGTTTTTTGCAAGCACACACCCTTTATACATAACCTAGGAATGGCCATACTGGGTCAGACCAGTGGTCCATCTAGCCCAGTATCCTTTCTTCTGACAGTGGCCAGTGTCTGATGCTTAAGAGGGAATGCAGAGAACAAGGGAATTATTCAGTGATCCAACTCCTGTCATCCAGTCCCAGTTTCTGGCAGTCAGAGGTTTAGGGACACCCAGAGCATGGGGTTGCATCCTGACCATCTTGGGTAATAGCCATTGATGGACCTATTTTCATGAACTCAACTATTTCTTTTTTGAACCCAGTTATACTTTGGGCAATGAGTTCCACAGGTTGCTTGTGCACTGGGTGAAGTAGTGCTTCCTTATGTTTGATTTAAACCTGCTGCCTGTTATAACCTGCAAGGACATTGTATATTGATCATGTGGATGTACAGAACTTCAATACCACCAGCAATTTTGTCTTCTGTGGTCACATTGACTTCAATCATGAGCAAGGATACAAATCCAACCCTCCGGCTCCCAAAATACAGGCTCCTACTACTTAGCCTAAAGGAGAATCTTCTGGTTCTCTTTTTATAATGTTTATAATCTCTTGTTCAAGCTACTGTACTGATGGATGATAACATTCTGTACACTCTCGCATGAATCTGACAGAGAGGCTCGTTGTGTGATGGTCTGAGCACTAGACTGGGATCCAGGAACAACTACAGCTCATCCTGGATCTGATGCTGACTCAGCTTGTCTTTTTTCATTGAATCTCCTTGCCTCAGCTGCTTCTCCTTCGAAAATAGAAATGAGAGTTTATTCTAAGTATGGGAACTTGTTTTTTGGCTTTTCACAAAAATCTAATTCTAGTTCTGACCAGACCTGTAGGATCACCAGTGGTTTTGAATTGCTGCCATGGGGAACCTGGGCATCCTGGATGAAACCCTTAGGATGGGACACAAAAGTGATGGGCTGTATGTATTGGATACAGCAGTAACACGCCTGTACCTGACAGTCATTGTAGGAGACTGCATTACTGGATAAGCCCAAAACATACCCAGCAGAACTGTGGTCCCTTAGAGGTGGCCTTTCCACATCAAGGTTGAGCCATACAGATCAGGCAATGTGAGGAAGATTGCATTGTCATTGTCCGTATATAGAATCATAGAAGATTAGGGTTGGAAGGGACCTCAGGAGGTCATCTAACCCAACCCCCTACTCAAAGCAGGACCAATCCCCAACTAAATCATCCAAGCCACGGCTTTATCAAGCCTGAACTTAAAAACCTCTACGGAAGGAGATTCCACCTCCTCCCTAGGTAACCCATTCCAATGCTTCACCACCCTCCTAGTGAATTTTTTTTTCCTAATATCCAACTTACACCTCCCCCACTGCAACTTGAGACCGTTACTCCTTGTTCTGTCATCTGGTACCACTGAGAACAGTCTAGATCCATCCTCTTTGGAACCCCTTTTCAGGTAGTTGAAAGCAGCTGTCAAATCCCCCCTCATTCTTCTCTTCTGCAGACAAAACAATCCCAGTTCCCTCAGCCTCTCCTCATAACTCATGTGCTCCAGTCCCCTAATCATTTTTGTTGCCCTCCGCTGGATTCTTTCCAATTTTTCCACGTCCTTCTTGGAGTGTGGGACCCAAAACTGGACACAGTACTCCAGATGAGGCCTCACCAATGCAGAATAGAGGGGAATGATCATGTCCCTCGATCTGCTGGCAATGCCCCAACTTATACAGCCCAAAATGCCATTAGTCTTCTTGGCAACAAGGGCACACTGTTGACTCATATCCAGCTTCTCGTCCACTATAACCCCTAGGTCCTTTTCTGCAGAACTGCTGCCTAGCCATTCTGTCCCTAGTGTGTAGCAGTGCATGGGATTCTTCCTTCCTAAGTGCAGGACTCTGCACTTGTCCTTGTTGAACCTCATCAGATTTCTTTTCGCCCAATCATCTAATTTATCTAGGTCCCTCTGTATCCTATCTGTACCCGCCAGTGTATCTACCACTCCTCCCAGTTTAGTGTCATCTGCAAACTTGCTGAGGATGCAGTCCACACCATCCTCCAGATCATTAATGAAGTTATTGAACAAAACCGGCCCCAGGACTGGCCCCTGGGGCACTCCGCTTGATACCAGCTGCCAACTAGACATGGAACCATTGATCACTACCCGTTGAGCCTGACGATTTAGCCAGCTTTCTATCCACCTTATAGTCCATTCATCCAGCCCATACTTCTTTAACTTGCTGGCAAGTCCATTATTTTCCCCTCATCCACAGGGCCAGTTATCTCATCATAGAAGGCAATTAGATTAGTGAGGCATGACTTGCCCTTGGTGAATCCATGCTGACTGTTCCTGATCACTTTCCGCTCCTCTAATTGCTTCAGAATTGATTCCTTGAGGACCTGCTCCATCATTTTTCCAGGGACTGAGGTGAGGCTGACTGGCCTGTAGTTCCCCAGATCCTCCTTCTTCCCTTTTTTAAAGATGGGCACTACATTAGCCTTTTTCTAGGACCTCCCCCGATCGCTATGAGTTTTCAAAGATAATGGCCAATGGCTTTGCAATCACATCCTCCAACTCCTTTTGCACCCTCGAATGCAGCGCATCCGGCCCCATGGACTTGTGCTCGTCCAGTTTTTCTAAATAGTCCCGAACCACTTCTTTCTCCACAGAGGGCTGGTCACCTCCTCCCCATGCTGTGCTGCCCAGTGCAGCAGTGTGGGAGCTGACCTTATTCGTGAAGACAGAGGCAAAAAAAGCATTGAGTACATTAGCTTTTTCCACATCCTCTGTCACTAGGTTGCCTCCCTCATTCAGTAAGGGGCTACACTTTCCTTGACTTTCTTCTTATTGCTAACATACCTGAAGAAACCCTTCTTGTTACTCTTAACATCTCTTGCTAGCTGCAACTCCAAGTGTGATTT